GAAGCTAATCAGGGGCGCATGCAAGCCGGCGGCTTGATTTTCGATAGACTCCAACTCTCTCGGAGCCACGTTACTGCGATACTACCTCTCCCACCAACACACGTCCGCCCGCCCAGGTGCCCTGCCATCTGCCGTCCCCCGGGCCTCCACCCACAGACGTCGGCTTCTGGAGGTGGGTCGTCCGCACCCCCGTAGCAACCCCCACACCGCAAGTACCACCAACACCACCACGCCCCCTGAGATCAACATCAACACCACGGCCCGTTTTCCCCTCCAGCCTCATCGCGAAAAATCGCATGCCAGAATCCAATTCTCGCCCTCACCCGGCGCGCGAATCCGAGCCCGACGCCTCCACTGGTCACAGTCGAATGTGACCGCCACAAAAATGTCCTCCTCTCTGGCCCGCAGCCGTTCCCTCCGCAAACCAACAGACCTCTCCTCCTCCTCCACCGCTCCGCAACGCAATGTCTCTCCAAGCCGCCTCCCCGCCCCGCGCCCGACGCGCCCGACCACCCGCAACGTCTCCTCCGGCAGCCTGAACGACACCGCAGCCGCCGCCGCACCTAAGAAGAAGCCCTCGGCGCTGTCCTCGCTGCTCTCCCGCGGTTCCTCCACACGCCAGACCGCCGCCCGCAAAGATGCTTCGTCCTCCTCCACCACCGCACCATCATCGCGTACGGCGAACGCTCCCACCCGGACCTCGTCAACCCGCGAGCCGACCGCAGGCCTGAACAGGCTCCGCAACCCCGCCGCCTCTTCGACGAGTAACCTCCCGGGAACAAGCGGCAGCAGCGGCGGCAGCACGCGACCAACAACATCGAGCGGCCTCGCCCAGAAGCGGACAACACCGACGTCCTCCACGGGCCCAGGCTTAGGCCACACCCGCGCGCGGAGCGTGGCAACTCTCAACGGAAGCACGACTCTCCCTCCTCCAAACCAATCCTCCACGACGTCCAGGTCCACGGCCCCGAAACCCCGTCCGACGTCCCTCTACGGCGCCCCGTCAACCTCCACAACCTCTCTCGCCTCCTCCACAGCAGCCGCCAGACGCCCCGGCTCCGCAGCAGCACAAGACCCCGCCAGACCACCACGCCCAGGCTCCGGCTCCTCGACCTCAACGACCTCAACCGCCATGACCTCAACTACAAACCTCACCCACAAGCCCTCCGTCGCGAGCATCTCGACCCGAACCCGCGCCGGCTCGACAGCCTCAACCAAACCCCCCTCCAAACCACCGACTCGCCAACAAACCACTCCCACCTCCCCCCGGCACCCGAAACCCCCCGTCCGCCAACAACAGCAGCAACAAACCTCCCAACCCGCCTCCCCGCGCTCCCCACGATCCCCCCCACGGAACAAACCCCTCCTCAAACCCGCCTTCACAACCCTCCAACAGCACTACTCCCCCGCAAAGAACCTCGCCCCGAAGCCCCTCACAGCAACCTACCTCGCGCCCCCCTCCCCCTCCAAACTCCCCACAAACGTCGCTCTCTCCGCCGAAACATCCCGCCTCCAGACCGAGCTCCTCCAACTACACCTCCTCCACCGCGACCTCCCGACAACCACCTCCCAATGGCACGCCTCCGCCCGGTCCCACCTCGCCTCCCTCCACGCCGCCCTCGCCTCCTCCTCAAAGGACCTCGTGTCCCTCGAAGCCGACGCCGCAGAACGCCTCAACGTAGCCGCCCTCCACCGCTGGGCCACCCCCAGAAAAGGCCTCCTCGAGGAAAAGATCCAACGCCTCGACGCCCTCCTCACGTCCCTCTGGTCCCTCGACTCCCCCGGCGGCAAACACAACCGCCTCGTCCGCGCCTTCGAGCGCTGGGCCTCGTCCCTCTCCGACCTCGAAGCCGCGCGCGCGAGGGCAGACGGCCCCGAGTCGGACCCCGCCGCCCTGCTCGACGCAAACCTCGAGGTCCGCTTCGGCGGCGGCCTCGACGCCCGCTGGAAGGAGGAGTGCGCCCTCCTCGTCCGCCGTCTCGAGGGCTGGGATCTGCAGCTGAAGGAGCTGGCGTACGACGGCGAAGAAGAAGAAGCGGAGGACGTGGCGCAGACGTCCAGTCTGAAGAGGATGCTGGACGGTTGCGAGAGCTTGATCAAGGATATGCTCGGCGAGCTGGCCGTCATGGAGGAGATTGAGGCCGCTGCTGTGCAGAGGGAGACGGAGTGGATCAAGAAGATGAACAGGCAAGGGGATGACGGCGGCAAGAGAGATACCCCGAGGGCTGGTGCCGTTTGGAGAGTGATATGAGCCGGCACCGCTCCTCTTCGCAGTCACACAGATTGTCATGACCCCTTTATACAGCGAGCATATATGCGAAGCATTGATTTCAAAGTCTTGGTTCTCGATTGCGGTCCAAATGCGTGTTTTCTGTGTGCATGCTGTCCATATCCCACCCCAGATTCATGAGGGGCATATTCCATCCCACTCTAATCCCACCCTCAAATACCAATGCCATCTCGATTGACTGTACAAACATGTTCGTGTGAGCGAGACGTCGATCTCCACTCCCTGACTCTAAAGGGCGGCGAGCCGCGTCTCAAGCCAGCTCAGGTCGCCGTCCAAGGCGAACTTCCACCATGCAACCCCGGCAACGATGGCAGCCGTGCTCGTGGCCAGCATCCTGCGGACAAAAGTCAACCTGTCAGATTTCGTGAGGAGTATTAAAACGTAAAAACAAAAGGAAAAACAAGCAAAAGCCTGATCATCGGCAGCCAATCTTCTTCTCTTCATCTTTCAAGAACCGGGAAGGAGGTGAGAAAACCTTACGCCTTTCTCTTGCTACCGAACAACCGGCTAAACAGACCGCCGATCCAGTCAACAAAAAGTACGCGGAAAAAGGCCGAAAGCCAGTTGCCCTTGCTATCGGCGACGCTGTGTATGGACGAGGGGGTTCCCGGGCGGTCGGTCGATGAGGCTCCTCCGCGCTTCTTAAGCTGCCCCTTGTGGCTTTCGTCTCGGGCAGTCGTCGAGGCTTTTCCATCTGGGTTGGAGGCAGCGGCGTTGCTGGACTCGGCTGCGTCGTCGGGGGGCTGCACATGGATGCTCGGGCTGTCCGGCTGTGCGGGCTGCGTCTTTGGGGAGAGGTCTCTCGAATGCTTGCCGTTGGTGTTACCGTTGTAGTCGGGAGACTCTGATCTGTCAGGCTCGCCGCTCTTCTTAGGCTTCGACTTGGAGCCCTTCATAACGACTCCCTCGTCCTCGTCACTAGCGGGAGAATTGAAGACGTTAGGTGTTGGGCGGACTGCGGGGCTAGGGACGCGGACGGGACCTTCGGTCTCGCGGTTCGCCTCATCCAACCCAGGTGATTCCTTGCCCTCCTCCTCGACGATCGAGCCTAAGGAAGCGAGAGATCTTTCCGACACCATTGAGCCCTGCTTCTTCCGAGGCAGCTCGAGCTTCTTGCCTACACCTGGACTAGAGGGGCCTGGCGAGATCACGGCCTCCTCATATGGGTCGAGGCTTGCTTTTCTTGATCCGACGATGGGTGACATGGGAGTGCCGTGGAAGTACGTCTGGTCTTCGTTGCAGCCCGTCTCCACGTTTCGGACAGTGTTCAGAATCTCCTCGCGTTTTGACGGCAGTCTCTCCAGAGCCGGGTCGTTCAAGTCGTACTTGTCGACGTCATACTCAACGGTGCCGTGGTGCTCATACTCCTTCGTAGCATCCTCACTATCACTCGGTGGCTCGTACGGGCCGAGGGCTTCGTGGGCGAACAGAGGCGGAGGACCATCGTCCGCCAGATCCTTGTCGTCAAAGTCCTGCGCTGTGTTAGCCCTGAGGTCTTATGTCGCCTGCCATCTTGCCAGAAGTGCATACCTGATCAGCGTCCAGCATCTCTGCCGTATCAGCAACCTCCGCTGCGGTAGTAGCCACCTGCTCAATCGGAGTCGAAGAAAGACGCTTTCTCTCCGCATCCTTGATACGGTCAAGTGGTGTAAGGCGGGGCGTGTTGTCTTCGGCATCAAGCTTCTCGGCAGTGTCGGCGACCTCTGCAGCGGTGTCTGCAACCTTTTCAATCGGGGTCGACGAAAGTCGCTGCCGTTCCTCGTCCTTCAGGTGGTCGATCATCTTAGGCTTCGGCTCAAGCTGAGCAGTCGAGTGGGTCGCGGCAACAGTTGAGGCATCCATCTTGGTAGAATTTGAGTCCGTCTGATGGTTCTGTTGCTCGCCGTTGGTTTTTACACCGTTCATCTCTGTGAACTCTTGAGAAGCCGGGGCCGTCAGGACGTTGTTCTGGTTGCCAGAGTCGTCGGTCACTGCAGGGTCACGTCATGTCAGGCGAGATGCGGTTGGGATCGGAGCTAGAGAGACCTTACCTGTAGTAGCGCTTTGGTTGAGAACCCACCAGTCACCAAGGCCAACGCGAAACTTGTACTGGATCTGCGAACTTGGCGGTACCTCGACGGATTTGAAGAATGTATGCTCTCCTCCCTGGTCGGTGGTGAACTGCATCTCAAGAGGCTGCCATTGCGGATCGGAGAAGGAGCCCGCAACAAATATGGGCGGCTGGGTGCCCGGCTGGCGGTAGGAGATGGTGACGGAAACCATTTTTTGATCCTGGTTTCCGCGGCAAGGTATGCGAAGGTTCGAAGTGTGGAAGAAAGCCGATATCACTCCGCCAACTCGATCATTCGAGCAGTTTCCGGGCAGGCGGGTATTTTGGGTTTGGGGGCTGCTGCCTTCTACAACACTCCAGAGTCAGTTCAGATAAGGGCACTTTTCTTGCTTCGGGAGAGGGAAAGACTCGTCAAGAGATGCAGAGATAGAGACCGTCCCCCTGGAGCCCACGGTGAAGGTGGCGGATTGTGGATTGGGTTGGGCGTGGGTAGAAACGCTGACGAATGCGGCTGTCTCTGGGTGATACCTTACGATGCTAGCCGTGAGGAGCGAGAAGGCGTTGGATTGCCTTCGTGGGAAAAAGCAAAAAGGTAAAGAAGCGAAAACAAGGCCGATTCTTTGTGAAGAATTCAAAGTGGAGTCTTCGTGTCTGAGTGTTTCACGCAACGAAGAGGGATCGGGGGTTACGTGTTTGTGCGAGTGAAACAGCTTTGAGGGAACGAGCTGACCTAGGGGCAGAAGACGAGGGCAGAATGATGAACTTACCCGTGGGACAGGAGAGATACGACGTACGGACCGGAAGAGCAAATGCCACCTTGATCAGCCAAGGCGAGGGGAGCTCAGATAGCAGGGAGATCAGAAGCCGGAAGATTGGTGTCTGACGTTGGGAGGTGCAGCAGCTCAGAACAGGGAAGCTGTGGCACAGGAGGGGTCCATTGCATGATTATGCCATGGGTGCTATGTCCAACGTGTGTTGGGGAAGGGGAGGACTTGAGTAAGGCAAGAGGGGGAATACGGGAAGAGAGGTTGGGAAGGTGTGGCTGGCAGAAACCAGCACTCGCTCCAACCTGGCAGTCTGGCTCAGCTAAGGGTAGTAACGAGGCGAGATGGGATGGTCCAGTGAATTGCAGATTGAGAAACAATACTCAGGCGTACATAAAGAGAAACTGGACCTATTGCTTGTTGTGGCGGCCATCAAACTGCCTCCCCACATGAGCTTGATGGTCCATGACTGCCGCGAAACCTGGGACAGGCAAAGAATGACGCTGAGGTATGGGACGAGATTGTCAACGACCTCCCTTCGCCGCTCCAATTCTGTTGACGCCGGCCACCCGGACAGCTGCAACTGCAACTGCATCTGCACAAAAAAGGATCAGAAGCTCCCCCCTCCAATAATGGAGCTACTAAACAGCAGCCAGTAGCGGGCTATCAGCAATGGAACAGGCAAATCCTACCCGTTCACTGCCTCCGTAGGCATGCTTTTTGCGTCACCATCCCTGGACATGTCCCGAGCTGGGGAGTTGCGGGAACATGCCCATTGGCTGTGGCTGTCCATGTTTCCAAGGTACTGGGGACTTTCCCGCAATGCACGAGCCAGGCTTTGCCCCACCGACTCGCGGGTCCCAATGAAAAGGCCCAGACCGGGACAAACGCCCCAGACACCGAGACCTCCAGAAGCGCCCCCCGGGGAAGCTATCAGCCACCTCCATCATGCCAGAGCATCGTGTGGAATGGGCAATGTCGGCATGAAAATCCCATCTAAATAACCGCCTAAGAAAAGAGAGCAAAAACAAGCTGTTCGTCTGCTTAGCCGGATTCGCTGCTGCGTTTCCTAGCTACAAGCCACCGGTGCTCAGCTACTGCAGCTCTGCCAAATCGCATGGCAGCCATCACGAAGGCTGAAAATCAAGCAACGCCTCAACTTTGCCAGCAAATTGCAGTTTTCAAAAGGCCCTATATCCCTAGGCAAAGAACTCTCAATGGTACGGAAGGAATCGGGTGGTTTCAGACGCAATCGAGCTCACCATCATAGCAATCTTCACAAGCTCTCTAGGTCTCGGCCGGACGACCCTTGTCCTGGTTGCCAGCCATCCCGCGTCCAAAGAGTTTGAGCTGCCCACAGCCCGTTCGGCTCTTCTGTCCCATTTAATGCGCTGGACTGGTTCCCATCGTCCAGTGGCATTGACAGTCTGTCTGTCCGAGTGCTCAAGCAGTCTTGAAGCGAAGCTCGTAGCTTGATCAGCGCAAGGCGGGGCTTCTTTCCCCAAGCCGGCAATGGCAGCCAACAGCCCGGAGGGGCTGGGATCACCCCCGGACGCTTGCACGATTCTGCCAAAGGCGGTCAATCCCCTGGCCAATGACATAGCCCACCGATAAGCTCGCCTTATCTGAGATGGATCCTTTGACGTGCTGCCGTCCCGCTGGTGCGGCAGGCTTCCAGAAAAATCCATCTCGCGAGAAAAAAAAGAAGAGCAACACCGTCGCATGAATTACGACGTGGCATAGCCAGACACCGAACCGGGGACATCCAGTTTCGAGCTGCCACGAACATTCTAATCTCTTCGTTCAAACATCTACCACATAGTAGCCCTTAACCGCATCTCTACCGCTGCCCGTAGTCTTCTTGTCAACATGTCTGCCCCTCCTCACTTGATCCACATCAAGCGGAAGCGGGGCGACGAAGATGCGCCGGTCACCTACCTCCGTACGTTGCCTCCTTTGTCTGATGTGTTGAAGCGCGCAGACTGACAAGCGACAGAGCTTGAGTCAGCGAAACGGCACCAGAGTGGCAGCAGCTGGGTCTACCGACGACGCATAGCACCAGCAAAGTCCAGTTCAAGATCCGGCGCAGGCTCGCTACACCACTCCCCGACAAAGCCCGTGATCCAAACCTCCAAGCCCGGCGATGAGCTCCCGCACTCGAGCCGCTCTCCCGCAAAGCCCGTCTCTCAGCCAGCGCCCGATAATGCTGCTGCGACCGATAAACCCCCCGCCACCGAGGCACCGGCCCCGGCCCCGGCCCCGGCCACCTCCTCCGCTGCTCAGCGACCAGCGAACCCTGCGGCCGAGCCCAGACGATTCCACATGTCCCGTTCGGCAATGAGCTCGCCGACAGGTAGCACGATCCTCAAGGCCGGCGGCGTCACCAAGCGCGGCCGCTACGGAACAGCAGTCTTCGTCGAGCGAGGCAAGAAGAAGGCATCGAAAAGGCTCTCCGTGGCCCTCGACGCCAAACACGCCGCCGCTATCTCTACTCCGGAGTTCGAAATGGGCGACGACGCCAAGCCGGCGCCCAAGAAACCCCAGACCAAACGCCCTTCTGCTCCTCGTCAAGATGTCGAATCCCAGCGCAAACCCCTGCCCAGCGTGGCGCCCACCCAGGACATGAGCAAGATCGCCGCCGACATGGACCAATGGGTGCTCCACGAGATCGGGCTGAACCTCAAGTCGATGGAGCTACAAAATCCAGCCCCTCCTGCTGCTCCTGCTGCTACAGCCTCCTCGCCATCGCGGTTCAAGCCCAAGGCCCCCGTCAAGCGCTTCGCCGAACGGCACCCCGAGCTGGCAAAGGAGCTCGACGGCGGGAAAGACCGTGACGAGTCCATGACGGACGCCAGCGAGGCCGACGACGACGATGATGACTACGTCATTGAAGTGTATGAGCTCGCGCCGTCCAAGCCCTTATTGGCGAACATCCCGCCCGAGGAGATTGGCGTGCTGCGGTTCGATACCAAGGAAGATATGGAGCTGTTTTACGGGAATGAAGAGGAGGACGACTCGGATTATGACGATGATGAGGATGAGAATGGTAAGGATTACATACTTGAACACCAGGAGAGGGACTTCGTGCTGACTTCGTATCATAGCGGAAAACCACTACACTGCAGACTACCCCGAGGACGAGGTCGACTCGGAGGATGAGTACGATCGCCACGCCTATCTCTTCCGTAATGCCAATGCGTCGGACGACGAGGAGTTTGACCTGCGCGAGCAAGAGGAGGATGAAGACGAGGACATGTACGTCATGGAGGGTGACAACAGGCGCGACGAGGACGATGTCTTCCAGGAGAAGATCCGGAGGTACATCCGCCAGCACGGCTCGGACTAAATATAGACTCATTGTCTTGCTTCTTTCGCAGCATTCCAGCAGCGACGAGACGGTTCAAACATCAACAGCATTAGGGGCATGGTTTAGTGTGGACATTTTATATGTTCAAACTGAAATAGCCCCAGATTCCAATTATAGATACAAATGGCACGCGCATGCATGCTCAACAGTCTGTATCTGTTCCAAAAATAGGAACCAAAAAAGAGATCCTGCACTCTTTAACCGTCCCAACCCCAAGATTTCCCGACCCATCCCAAACACCATAAAAAGAAAATGCGTGCGTTCGTGACTAACAGCACGGAAAGATGGGAAGAGAAGGACGCCTTTCCAATGTGAGACGCCGTCTTCGAGACACTCTCACACGCTGGTGCGAGGTGGTTTGAATGGGTCGATGCATCCCAATCTAATAATGAAGTGACGTGTCGCTCTGACTCCAAGGGATGAGTATATACTGACAACAGATGAAATGTTTGAAATAGGAAGACCATTTGGAACATAAGATTCTCCTTCACATTCTAGGCGCAAAGCTGTCTGCAGCGGCATCCTCACATGACTGTGCAGGATCCGACGGTCCGGCCTCGGCGACGGCCACCGTTGCCGCCGTCTTCCTCATCGGCGTGGAGCATCTGGGCTTCCCGGGCACGGCGTCTGCGGCGGCGATGTCCGGCGCCAGTGGTGCCAGCCTCCTCGGTAGCCTGCATATATTCGCCCCAGCGGCGCTCGAGGCGGTTGGCCGCGGCGAGGTCTCCCCGGATCACGCGCTTCATGTGCTCGTCAACGGTCATCTGGAACTTGTAGAAGCACTTGAGGCTGATCGCCTCGCCGGAGTAAGCATGTTTGCCGGGTTCTGATGTGGAGGGCTTTGACTGAGCGTTGCGGAAGAGAACCTCGCGAATGCCAGTCCAGGTGACATTCTGGCAGTCGTAAACCACCATGTGAAGGCCGACCTTGGGCTTCGGCTTCTTCGCGGTGCATTGGGAGCGATTATTGACCATGTAAGCCGCTTCAGCGAGAACGAGATCACTGATCCGGGTGTTGTCCAGGTCAATGCTCCTCAGGTTGGTGCAGTTCTTTACGATGGGCAGTACGCCGCTGTCGCCGAGGTTCTCGCAGTAGCTGATCGAGAGATGCTCCAGCCACGGTGCACACGGAGCCTTGGCCAAATGCTCCGCAAGAAGGCTGTTGGTAAGATCTGAAAGATCTTCCATTTCGAGGTGGGTGAGGCGCGGGGTCGATGCGAAGATGGGCTCGAGTGCTGCGTCGGTCAAGGCGGTGCAACCGGATAGTCGCAGGGCTTGTAGATCCGGAATGTTGTATCCCAATGCCTTCACTCCCTGGTTTGTGAGACGACCGCATCTACTGAGGTCCAGGTGACGCCATTTCCTCGGGGGTACGACTGGTCGATCCGTAAGAATATCGATTTCGGGATCTTCTCCGTGAATCATGATCTTGAGTGCCCGGTCATTGAGCTCTGCGCAGCCATTCAACACCAGCCGCTCCAGGCTGTTGGTGTTGTAGAGTGTCTCGGCCACCTCCAAATTGTCGAAGCCTCGAACTTCCCCAGCCCTCAGATCCTTCAACTTTGGGCAACCTTCCAAGACGGTCTTAATTCCACGAGCATCCATGTGCACACACCATGATACGTTGAACATCTCGAGCTGCGGGCATGACTCGGCGATGATTTTGCAGGACATGTTGGTGACTGCAGTTAAACCCGTCAAATTAAGATTTGCAAGCTTGTCGTTTGTCCTCAACAAGCTGTGGAGGGTGTTTCGTTGGAAATTCCGGCATCCCTCGAGAGTGGCATTGACAAGGTTCTTACAAGCTTTGACAACCACCTCGGCACGTTTGTAGTGCTCAACCTGCACGCAACCTCTCAAGTTGAGGTCCTTAATGAAAGGTCCCGCGGCGACAATAATTCTTGCCAGAGACTCGGCCGGTATCGTTTGGTAAAACTCGGTCGCGTCGAAGCAAGTCCAAAGCTGCCCGTCGAAGCAGATCTTGTAGAACATCTTGCTTACACGAGAGGTCCTCACCAACTCCTTTGGCGAGAGGTAAGAAAATATTTGAACACGCATTTCGTGGGGCATGTTCTCCCAAAAGTTAAAGTCCCGTTTGGGAACCGCCGGATTCGCGACTTGCATCTTGCTCATCGTCCGCAGGTCGCTGGGAAGGCCGATCGACTGGGGACCGGGCGACTGCGCTGTAGAAATGGCATTGTCGACCCTCCGAACAGCAAGGCGGCCATC